ATTTTTCATCTAGACACTTTAAATTAAGTTGGTGTTCAGGGTTTTGAGTCATACTTTGCACATCTTATGAAATACTGTCACTCATAGCACCTATAATGAAAAAATCTCTTACAGTGGTATAATTGTTCTCTGCTAAATCTGACCATTAACCTTTTATACTCTTTGCAAAATGATAATGAAATGTTAGTGTTTCTTCTTGATTATAGGCAGGAATCAGAAGGTGAGTACTGTGCAGCAGTCATGTAAGGTACTGAGCTTTAGGTTATGTTGGCATGCCCACAATGGTAGCTCTCCAGATCCTATCCTGGGTTCTTCCACTAAAACCCCAGGATGCATATAAAATAAAATCCATGGCTGGTCTGGAGATCTGGCAAATAAATGTGCTGGTTTAGGCACTCTATAAGATACAATTAGAGAGTCATAAGACCCACTTCATCACATTGCTTTGGCATTTGGTTAAATTGAGAGCTATTTGGGATAGTTCAAAACTAGGTTAAAGCCAACAGTGCTTTTAAGTGCTTGATGGAACTTCAGAATGACCTTAAACTTGTGTAGATGCCAACGTGAGCAGAGCAGCTTTTCTAAATTCTAAGTGAATTAAGATGCAACAGGTAAAAAAGAATTCTTGTGAGTGACAACCCAAAATTTAGTCTGGGTAAGATATGCAAACCATGTGTTTACCTTGTGAAATCTTCCTTGTTTGCAAAGGAGTAAGTACAGAGTAAAAAATTACAGTAAGAAATCTAAATTCTTAAATCATGGCTGTTGTGTGTGTGAAGCTCCACCCCCCTACTTCCCTCCAGGATAACAGCATGACTGACTTTGAGAGTCTCCCAAGTGGTTTTTATCTCTGGTGTACGCAACTGGACTTAGTCCCCTTGCTCAGGAAATGCTGGTTATGGGACTGAGTTCCGCTCACAGTTTGTCTTCTTTTCAGGCGAGCACAGAGCTCCATCCTCCCTGCACTTCCAGCCTGAGCCCTGTCCTGTGACCCGGAGAGCTTTGGGAACAGAGGCCCAGGCTTCTGAAGGTACTTTGCAGTAGAAGTTCCCTGCTCAGTGACAGCTGCCAGCACAGCGAACTGCCTGTGCATGTTGACATTGAATGTGTAGGAGCCATTTGGTCCTTTGGTGGTCAGCAAATATCAGCTGATTCTCCTTTCTTGTAAAGAAAACTGGTAGGAGTCAGATCATTGTGATGTGCTCTCTGGATTGATAAGGGCTCTGGCTTAGCAAAGCTTGAGGAAAATCAGGAAAGAACGAAGGCAAGTTTATGTAAAAACAGTGAGGGAAGTCTATATGGGAAATGTAATTCCTGTGCAGAACCAGAATCTCACAAATTAACAAATCTGACACATACAACTCTTGTTTAGTGGTTAGGAACCATTTACCTCCTTTGTCAAGAAGAATGGTTTTCATTCCTCAAATTCAATCTTTGTATGAGTTTTCACTGCCAAGATGAGTGAATTTTCTCCTTCTTCTTTCTATTTTTTTTTTTTAAACCTGTAAAATATCGACTCTACATAGAATCCCAGAGGAGGTGAAGAAAAAGCTCTAAACTTCATGACTAAATCCCATGTAGGAAATACAAGAATGGTCTCCTCTAACTACACTATGTATATTCCATCTCTGACAAGATTTTTGCTGGGAATTAGCTTTATCCTTCCAGGATTGCCTGGTGAATGTGAAAGCTGTACTTCTGAGACTGGGTTTTTCCATGCCTGGTGGGGATGTGATTGTGCACATGTGGCTCAGGGAGCACTAACACAAACCTAGTCCCAGAAGCAGCACAGCTTCCACATTCCCAATCCACATCTGCACTGCTGTCAGCTCTGCTGTGCTTTGGGTGTTCTCCACATTGTCGTTATTTGCTCAAAACTGCCACTGCATCACATGTTATGAGCAGGAATGCTGGATTTCTGTCATCAGCAGCAAATGTGAAATGAGGTCACGTAGGTGGAGGTTGTCATGACATATCTTGTACGTGATGCAAAAACATTAACATGCTTGATAAAACGAAATAAAGTCATTTGTTTTTCCTATATCTGCAGTGAATTTCTAAGGGATGCTTTGTATATAATTTTTTGTTCTTTAGTTCAGGGCTTGACCCTGCAGATATTTTTGCCTGTTGAGCAACTGCTTCTCTAGGTGATTTCAATGGAAAAATTACCATATGATCATTGACTGTTCTTTTAGAAAGCAATTGCTTGTGTACTTAACAGTTTTAGAGCAAGGCTTTGTGATGAAAAAAAGCAATTTAGTATTGTAATCTTTATCTTAGAAATTATTAACTTCAGATAATTCAGTTGAGTATGAAAGAGAACAAACTTCAAACCTAACTTTTACCTCAGGAAATAGAGAATTTTAGAATAATTGTGTTGAGTTTTCTGACTTTCTTTCATCCCTTGGTTCTTTCATGCTTTTAGGTAAACTGTGTTTTTTACTGGCCTTGAAACTTTCTTTTATTCATTTATTTGAAAAAATAAATCTGTATCTAGGTAAAACAGGGTGATATTATTCAGGAGACAGAAAAGAAATAGATAGAAATATGTATTATTATGATGCTTCTCTGCTTGAGAGATTTAGAGTAAAGGGAAATCAGCTGAAGAAGATTCATAGTTGGATATTAAAGACCAGAAATTATTGGACAAAAGTGAAGTAGACTGAGATGGTGCTTAGCTGGCAAAGGATTCCTTAGCTTTTGTTACTTAGAGACTCTGAAAGTGTGGAACTCAGGGAAGTGCACAAGGGATATTTTTTCTGGACTGTAATTGCGAATCTGATCTCTTGCAAGGTTTTTGAAACACTTTTTGTTGCTTTTTGCTTTAAAAGTTTTGAGGGCCAGAGCCTTCACTGGACAATCAGCTGTGGTTACAGTATTTTCTGGGTGTGCCTGTTGAATAGTTTGGATAGAACAGTCACTGGGGAAACGTGCAGCTCACTGTCCTTACAAGCTTCCCAGGCTGTCTGCTCAAGGATCACTCAGCTGTCCCCACGGTACCTGTGGTCTGTAAGGATGCAGCAGAAAACTGTCACACATAACAAGGCACAGCAAAGCAACAGGCTTTGTATGGATTTAGTAAATGTAGATCCTGGAAATCAGTTTCTGAAAGAGGCTGGGAAAGTTGATAGTGCAGAGCAGTTGTGAGAACCTTTTCGTGCTGCTGGTTGCAGACCAGCCTGATTTAAGCCGGGCTCAGGCCAGCTGTGTTTGTGCTGGTAAGGTTTAAAGTTGTTGCTGTTAGAAAATCATCTGCTGTGCCAGTGGGCTTTGCACCTGGGAAATTGTACCAAGTCTGCCGTGCTTGGGAAACAAAAGCAAGTTCATGAGCTGGGGGAGAGGGGAGCATGTGGGTGAGGATTGTCAGGCTGTATGGCTACAGGTTGTCTTGGAACAGAAGGACACTCACACACTCACCTCTTTGATGCATCAGAAAGGGAGATGTGCTTTATTTACATCTCAGTTCTTATAATGTTAATGTTTATCCAGTATTGGAAGACTTAGCTCCTCTATTTTGTTCATTAAAACACCACCTCAGGCAGGTTCTATATGTCAGAGGAATGGTTTATATCATCCCTTCTTTACATTGCAAGGGATCTGGCTGCCAAACAGCTGCCTGAGCTGGCAAACTGAAGGGAGCTTGGTTTGTGCCAGAGGGATGGGATGACTGGCTGCTTCTGGCTGAGGAGGCTGCTCCTGCCTCGTGTCCAGCTATTCCTCTTGGGAGAGCAGGCAGGAGACCTGCTCTGGGGCTGTTTGTGAGCACGTGCATCCTCTGCAGCTGTCCCTGTGCTGGCTTTGCAGGAGTGTGTTCTCTCCTGGGATGGGGAGGTAGAAGGGAAGATCCCAGCCTGCCCCAAGGAATGGAGACACGAATGGGGGCTGTTATTCGGTGGCAGGGACAAGTGGCTGCCTGAGGAGAAATCCTGTGCCTTAGGTGAGAGGGGAAGGAGCCATCCAAGAGCGGAAGGAGGTGTTGTTGCCACCTTCAAAATCATTGTTTATCTCTTGTTGAGTCCTCTTCCCATCAAATTCAGGGGTTTGCTCTCTTGCAAACCTGATAATGAGTTTCAGGGGGTTTTTTGACTTGTTTTCAGATGTCTCCTTCTTCCTCCCTCCCTCTGTCCCAGGAGTTGTTCTCCAGTCACCTCTGCAAGCCTGTGTATTACCTGTGTTTCTGAAAGGTGTGCTCAGGTTCTGTCACCTCTTTTTCAAATAGTCCAGGAGGACAACAGCCAGAATTCTCAATAAATAAAAAATGCATGATTTTGATAAATGCAAATACATTCTCCAATAAAATGATGCAGATTAACCTACTTGATCACAATGTGCCTTTGGCAAAAGTACTTGGGAGATAAAACCCAGAAAAGCTGTTTAAAAACTCAGTTTCTCTTCCAATCCCTTAATCTTTGTGAAGAGAAAAATACACTAGCACAATGTTTCAAAAAATTTGTTTTTAGTAGGTCTACAGAGTTAGCTAACTATTTTTTTTAACCTGCAGGGAATTCTACACCCTGTAAAGTGCAGCAACTGGGAGAGCTCAGCAAGTGTTCTGTTCTGCAGCCTGTCAGTCCCACAGTCCCAAGGTAACAGGGTGTCACTGCACTTCTCACAGGTATTGTTTTCAAAGCCAGGATTGCAGAGGGCAGTAGAGTGAAAAAATTATTGCAGTGGTGTGCAAGTCCAAGAAGTCACATATCAAGGAATGGGAAAATCAGTGGAAATCCAAAATACTTTGTTTAACCCCAGTTCCACCTCTTTACCATCACTAGAGGAAGAGCAAAGCTCTTCTGCCAATAGAACTTCTTTTGTCAGAGCCCAAGTGATTTATCATAGATTTGACACTTCCCCCTCAGTTGAAGTTGTTTGGTGTTAAATATTTCTGGGTGAAACATTTAAGTGATGCTTAGAACACTTTTATGCAATACTTCTTCATTGAGAAGTCATTTAAAATAATATGATGAAACATAATTGTCCATTTTTTTATTCTCTAGGAAGAGGTGACAGAGTATTTAATTTTGAATTTTGAAAAAAACAAGTTGTTTCACTTAAAATCTCAGATTGCCCTGCCCCTCGTCACCCCCCTGCAATTTCCCTACATGTATCTGCTAAAGGTAAGTGAATCTCATTGTTTCTAAAATTAAACAAGAAGATTTGTTTTTGGGCAAGCACTGGGGGAAAAAACAGAACATGCCAATGAAGGAACTGTTAACTGCTTTGTTCCAAACAGAGCTTCCCCCTCTCCAAATAATAATACTTAATTTGCAAGCAGGTTTTAAACAAGGTTGTGTATAAATTAGACCTCATAGAGCTGGGACCAATTTGTTCCCCTTAATTTGATTTACTCTTTAAATTTGAGAGAGATTGAAGCGGTGACCACATACTGGTTAAGCAACGTGGAAAAGACCATGCCTGAAATGGAGAACTCTGTGGTTTCACAGGGGTTGCTTCTTAAAACTATGCTCTTTAAAATACATTACTTTAGTTAAACAAACACTATTATTAGCACTGCTGATAAGCACAGTCATGAAGATAGATGAAAATACCTCTGCCACTCAATTGAATTTTAGTAAAATTGATTGTATTTGAAGGTTCTTTAATCCTGTGCTACATTCTCTCAAATGATAAACAACACCCTTTTGGGCTGTTGCTGGTTTATGGAGTTATAGATAATCAGTTCCTTGACTGGAATTGCAGCTCTGTCTGTTTGAACAGGATCTGAGCTGGTCACTGTGTGGGCATGGCAGCACTGCTCAGGATACTGAGGACTTGGTGCTTCAGGAAAAGGACATATGATGCTCAGGAAATGATTTGGGGTTTTTACCTGAAAGAACTTGCATTGGAAGCAAAAGCTCTGTGAGTGTATTTGTATGTGCATGTATCTGTTAGGTGGAGAAGTGCCTTGCTTCCCACATATCTGAGAATATAAAGATTATTTTTCCCCCCCTTGATACCAAGCATAAGTACTTTAAAAACATGGAGGTGGAGGGGTGAGTGGAGGTCTGACAGACTGTATCTAAGGTCCAGAAAGGTTCTCTGTTGTGAAAATCTGTTGAAAAGCATTGATGGTAACAAGTGGCAAAATATTTCTTGCTTTTTTTATTTTTGCAGGGGTTATACTCGTGCCTTTCTGCTACTCAGCATTTGTTTAGATTAAAATTAGAATTACTAAAATACCATGGAGACTCTTATTCCAGTAAAAATATTTTTAACTGGACAAAAAGTGTATTCCAGTCACAGTTGCAGCAATATCTTTAAGATCCTGGCCTTGCTATAGGTGTTCATTGAGTTTAGCCACGCTTCAAGTATTTTGTTCCACAGAATCATCACCTACAGTATTTCTGATTTTGGTAAGTTATATTATTGTGCTGATTCTGTATATTGCATTGTCTTTTACACAGAGGAAAAATAGCTTTTTTAAAGAAAGAAATCTGCTTAACTTTTGTCACCCACAATAATCACTGAAGTATTCATTCTGCTCTTGATAAAGGAATGCCAAGCCCCCAAACCAGGATTTTAATTAACTCATGGAGAGTTTCTGAAGACCTGAACATCTCTGTCTTGGTGTTTCGTTACCCTTGTTTCTACAGTTCTAATTGGGTCACTGTAGACAATTGGTGATGGTGGTATTAAATAAACTTTCAAAGTTGCTGGCTAGTGATTTGAGTGATTAAATATGGATTAGATTCAGAATAAGCTGATAGAAAGATATTTTGTTTTCTGACATGCTTAAGTTTATGAAGATGTTATGTCACATTGTATCTTATCACATTATGTTAATTTAGCACTGTGCAGGCTTTTGATGTGATGTGCTCATTAGAATGTTTTCCAACTTTAGAGAAGTTTGTTACCAAGAGGCACAAGACTTGGCTCATTTGACAAAGCTATTACAGACTAATGGAGTGGCAACATTTTAAAAGCTACCCCGATAAAATACATTATGTGTCTGTGTGTGTGTTTACAACTATATAGCTTTAAAAGTAATTGCAGGAATGGACTTTATACTTCCCAGTAAAAAAGTCACTGACTATTCTGGTTTCCAGACTGGACCTTAAAAAGACAGGTCAATCTTACCAGACTTCTGCAGAGGTCAGGTAAGGTATCTGAAGTGGAAAAGTCAGCTGTTTCTTTTTTCAAGTCTAAGGTAATCTATTCTTTTCTCATGTCCTCAGTGCACATATTTTTTGTCTGAGTCATTGGCAACCAGAATTATTTGATATTCAATTGACAGGCATCTTGCAGGAATGGCCTTTGGAGCCAGTCCTTATTTGTTTAGTTTTAGCTAATATCCGTGTGTATGCACAATTTAAGAAAAACAACAGTAATTTAAGTGACAGAAAAGGGGAATTAATTCAGAGCCTGAAGCAAGAACAGTCCTTTCTTTTGATTACAGTTCTGGTGTCTGAATCTGAATCCAGCATGCCCTGGATCTTTCTCTATTAGTGTGCTGTCAGACATCTCAGGGTGAAATTCATCTCCCTTCTTGTTACAATGCTGGCAAACAGCAGAGCTAGGAGAAAGGTATTGTATAAAAAAGGAATTATTTTCTCTTGAGTATTCCTTTGTAGCATAAACCCAGCTTTCTCTTCAATTCTTCTTCCTCCAAAACCCCCGTTCTCCTGCGTTTTCTGTTGTCATGTTTTTCCTACCTGTAATCCCTCTTGAGGCACGAGATCCTTGGCAGTTGTGTTCCCACACACAGCAGTCTGCGTGGAGGTGTCTGGATTAAATACATACTGCAAAAAGCAGAAAATCTTGCAACAGAAGAGCAGATTTTTGGGGGGCAGTACTCAGAAGCAAGTTTGTTTTGTCGTGTGCTGGTGGTGTGGGCAGCACCATTGTATGAACCAAAGAAGAGCAGGTCCTGCCCTGAGGGCAGATGCTCTGAAGCTGCAGTGCTGCAGCACAGAGCCTGTGTATCCATGCAGGAATCACCTCCTTTATGCTTCCTTTCAGGACCCTGACAAGGCATTTCATAGCACTTCACTAAAAAGTAGCAGGGTGACTAAGTACAAGAGGCTTGACTGTAAAGCAGCATCAGTGGAGCTTGGGTTGGGCTGACCTCCGAAAAAATTGTGCAGAGCAAAATCTCTTAATGGATGTTGCTTTGTGTTTTGACATTTGTAATCAACTGATATGAAATAAAGAACTGCTTCGCTGTCTTACCTTTGTTGAGAGAACTTGTACAGGTTGCAAAGAACATTTGAATGTTTACAGGTGAACAGGACTGTAGTGAAAGGAGAAAATCTTTTGCCCAGAAAAGTGAACTGGCTGTGCATCCAGCAAAGGTTCCCTTTTTGTGAAATTTAAGCACTTCAGCCAACTGACAAGGGCGTGTGTGCCTTCTCTGCCACTGGCAGAGCTCTTTTCCCAGTGAAAATGAGGGTTGTGTGGAATCACATGTGAATGTTGAGCTGGGAGAATTGACTGAACCGAATCCATCCAGTGAGGATGTACAACTGTGTGTGTTTGAGGTTTATATGCTTTCTGAAAGTAATGTCTGATACATTCATGGGGTTATTAGGATTCTTCCCAAGAAGATTGCAATATTATCACAGGAAAATAAAAGCAATTTACTAGAAAATATTGGAATTGTTTTTAAATCAATATTTCTTGTTATTACCATAGACAATGGGAATAGAATGAATTCTAGAACTTTCCCTCCCCATCCCTGCCATGTTTGCATCATGTCCATCCTCCTGCTAATCCCAGGTATTTTCCTTTACCTCTTAGAGAAAATGACAGTAGAGACTATTTTTCTGGGATTTTTGTTATGCTTTGCTGTCCTTTTCAGTTTATTTACATCATCAACTTCTCTTTAACTTCTCTTTGTGAGCCAGCTGAGCTCAGAGAACACTCAACATGCACCATGAATGGCAGATTGTCTGTCAGCACAAGTAAGTCTGGAGTCAATAGTAACCAGAGGAAACAGAAACTGAGTATCCACAGGTAAACAGAAGTTCTTTAGTGCTCAATTGCTGCTCAATGCCAAGAACAGCCAATAAAAAGTGACATGAAAATGTTAGACATGAAAAAAGGAGTAAAATATAATCTCTTAAATTAATTCATAGCATTTATAGGGGAAAATAAGGAAACCTAACAATAGTTTTCAAGGTGAATTCATAACTGTTCTTCTTTCTCTCGGTATATATAGGGTTGAACCCAGAAAATTTTGTGCATGTGTTGTTGAGATGGCAATAAATCGTAAAAATAAAATTTGTGGCAGATTTATAGTTCCTTATGAAACATACCCTTTGAAGAACACAACTCATGGTCTAAGTTTGGCTTCCTGTTGTATGACTTTGCCTTCTTCTTACATCTTCATGCTTCCAGTGTGAGCCTGAAAACTGCACTACAAAGAGAGGGATGTTGAGATAGTGAGAGATTCCTTTTCTTTTACACTGTGCTTTATATGGTTTATTTCCCTGCTTTTGGCATAGTACGCTTATTCCTGGGAGTTTTGTGCCAATGTTATGCCTAAGTTGTTTCACCTTCATTGTAACTAATTCCTGTCTTGTCAGGTTTTGATTTATATTGGTTCATATTTTCTGTCTTTTTAGCTAAATGTATTTTCAGCTTTTTTGAAAATGGCAGGGCTGGTCTTTTGTTCCAGTTTGGGACTGGCCTGTAAGGAACCTGTACCCTGGATATATGTTCTTTCTGCTGCCTGTACTTTGCAGTCTTTCGTGCCTGAGGAGCTAATTTATAAGAAGTTTTGAAGCCAGAAACCAGGCCACAGGATGCCTTAAAGACAAAAATTGAGCCTGCTCTAAGGGTCTGTAGGAAGCCAAAGAAGAGAGCAGAAATGTTGTTCCTTCTGAAGTTTTCAAAGGGCTGATGGATGCATGCCAGAAATGTTGGATTCCTAAATAAAAGAAACCAAAAGGTCACAGCTGAGGGCAGATTGTTGGTCACCAGGGGGATGTTCCCAGTTAGTGCCAGCAGCACGGTCAATATTGGGTTTGGATGTTGCTGTTCTGAGAGTCTGATTTCGACAGTAAGTCCAAGAGCTCCTTTTCTCAATGAATTTGTGTCATGGAAACAGAATGCATTGCTATGTCCTGCTCTGCATTGCAGCCTTCTTTCTTCACCTGAATTCAGCTCCTGTCAGGTAAACATGCCCACAAGTGTTGTGTTAATGTATGGTCCTGTAGGGCATGTTTCACTGATGGACTTACAGCTGCTCCTGTGAGCCTTTGAGAGTGGGCAGCTTGATTAACCGTGTCAAAAGGTTAAGAGAGGTCTGGGAGGGTGAGAGCGGTGTTTGCTTATCATCTGCTGACATGAGGAGACTTCTGCTAATCCTGTGCCTGCCCAGAGCCACTCCTGGATCCGGACTGTGGTGAGGACAGTACCTGGATTCAGCTGCCAGCCCTTCATTAGCTTTTAGCTTGTTTTCCTATGACCTTTAATCAGAATGATAGTAAGGGACAGTTTGGCTGTGATTCATGTACTCTTGCTTTTTATGAGGGAAAAACTCTCACTTTTTGGAAATGTGTTTTTGAAGGATGAAAGTAAGATTTCTTCTCCAAGTCAGACATTGGCAGTTGTGACCAGCTAGGAGTGGAAAGGCAGGTGGGATCTTCTTGGGTGCACTCTCTGAGCCCAGGGCCATGGGCTTAGGACCTTTCTGAGCATAAGGTGCTGTCTTTGAGTTTTCCCAGTGGATTTTTCCAGTTCTTTTTGAATCACTGTACACCTACAAACACTTCCACAGTAGAACTATGTATTTGGGAAATAACTTTGTTCCTGCTAATTTTACAAGGCTCTTCGTTCTTGTTTTGGAATAGAAAGTGAATAATCATTCCCTCTCACATTCTGCACATTATTCAACACTTTAGTCTGTGAATTGAAGATTTTTTTACTTTTGTTTCTGAAGTTTTCTACTGATAGAGAAGAATTAACGTCTCACTTAAGGCACACCATTTACATTTCGTATTCCAAGAGAAAGGCAGTATAACATCTTATTTTTAGTGTCTACTTAGGCTCATGGTGGGTGAGAAACTCCACTGGCAGAATAAAGCAACTTATCAGAGGTTTTTGATGTCAGATCTTAAAAATGCTGTTTCTGGCTCTGTTATATTCCACACCTCTTCATAAATATGGCTTGTTTTAGTCATGAGAGTTGTTTATTCTGAGTTCCAAAACTCTGTAATCCCGCAGAACTGGCTCAGCTTTACCAGCTGTCCAACAGTGGGACTGGCTCTAGCAAGGCTTTCGTACAGAACTGGGAAGATATCTGAATTTCTGTGAGGAAAGGATGAATGTTCTCTTTCAGAAATGAGAAACTGTCATTTTCTAAAGAAAAAAAATTTAAAAAAATACTAGTATTTAAACTTTTCAACCTTTC